ACTTACTCTTAATCACAGAACAAGACATACATTTTTATGAGTATATGTTATTTAAAATGTAAACATATTTTGAGTGTTGTTTATCAGAATATTATTGCGTCGATTTATTTTCTTCTATTGTCGTCTTTCAGTAACACTTTTAAATTTCTTTATGTCTGGTCTGTGATGGGAAAATTTTGCTTCATTAACTATTTTTAAAGTCATGATTTTCCCTTTCTATTGCTGGATCTAGACTTGTCAGTTATGAAATGTAAATAGCGAAATGTGAACAGGCAAATTTAACATGACTTTCTAATTGTTTCTGGTTTGTCATGTTTTTAAACAAATAAAGATCTGGTCTGAAAATAAAATAATGAGGTTTGTTGTTTTAGAGATTGATTTTTTTTGTTTTAGATCCATGGCAAGACATTAAAGTCAGAGCACGTCTACACTGTATGCAGTTCACCAATGCAGTTCACCAATGCAGACACTTCAGCATGTCTTATAAGACTTTCTAGACTTTGCTAGTCATAAAGAGGGAATCTTGCCCACAGGAGTGACCATATAAGGCAAATGATGGTCCACTGGTAAAGATCTCATGCCATGGCTGTTTGTGGCTGATGCCAGATTAAATATGCAACAAACGCTGATTTCTGAAGATGGAGGATAAAGAAGAAGGTTGCCGGAGAATACATTTTCTTCAGAATTTACTTATTAGCACCAAAGGCAAACACATAGAATTTCTGTCCTGTAACCAGCAAATGCTAATCATTCTAGTAAAGTGCTGGTTGTAAGCATACCATTCTCCTCTTCCACATGTTCATCGTTTAAAAGTACAGTACTTCATGTTGAAAAGCAAGGGGAAACTACCACATTACTATCCCAAGAAACTTACCATGGAAGCCAAAAATGAAACTCTTAGATCTGATGGTGAGGCCCCCAGGCCAGGCAGATCACAAACATGACCTGGGGAAGAGAATGATGGCAGAGCAAGTAAGGGTAGTTGTGATGATGGCTTTAAGCCTCACGGTACTTCACTACAAAAGAAAACTTTGTCATAAGAAAACTTTAAAGTTAGGAACATGGAATGTTAAAAAGTACATGAAACAGGAGAGCAGGTGAGAAACTAAGTTTTTTTTTTAGGCAGACAGTGATGAGAGCAACGTCCTGCAAAGGACCTGCTACATGATGATGATGACTTAATGTTAAAAGGGCTTCACTGGGATGGGTTTTTATTCCTAGTAGATTCCCCTAGGTTCCGGGACCCCACTATGGGGAAAACAAGAACAGACCCACTGTCTAATTAGCTGTCTAATTAACTGGGGACTTACTTCAAAGTCAGAGTGCATCTGCATGAGAGGCAAGGAACCAACAGTCGGCATACATATACGTCAGATCTGTAAAACGATGTGCATGCAGTACTCAGGTTTGGAATAAATCTAAAGTCCACAGGTGGATGAACAACCAAAACTTTCCGCTGGAGTTTACACCCGGTAAATGCGAAGAAAAAGAAAAGTTCTGACACAGAAAGACCTGCTTATTCCCTAACAAGCGTGTCATACAAAGTGACTAATTAGATGATTAAGCTTGATTCCTTCGAGGTCGGAGTACATCTGCCTGAGAGCCGAGGGACAAGTAGGATGTCCACAAATAAACCAGATCTGTAAAACGGATGTGCGCACAAAACTCAAGTTCTAGAACCAGACCTAAGCCCAGATGTGGACGAACAACCAACACTTTCCGCTGGAGTTTACAGCCGGTGGATGCAAAAATGGCAAAACTAAATCCTAGCCTGCACAGTTCATGGCGACAGCACTAACCATGGGAACCTAAATTCTCACACTCAAAGCCCCTTCCCCTCTCCCACCTACACCACAAAAGTAGTAAATATAATCAGGAAAGGCAGTTTTTAGGGCGAACATGAAGAAGAAGGTACTATTAATAACAATGTGTCTTGAATTGAAGATTTGACCAATCTTTTTCTTCTCTTCCACGTTGTACCTCAGTGAAGTATCGGGGGAAAAGGGGGGGGGGGGAGAGGTTATGTAATGTTCGGTTTTGAGCTCTGTCAAGAGCACTATTAAGACTGATGTTAATTTCTGTGAGGCTGTTCTGAATGCCATTACTCTATGTTTTCCGAGGCCTTCCGCTCGCTCTATATCCGTTGTAACGTTTTAGTGTGGCTTGTTGTGGTAGTTAGTTTAGGGCATTCTTGTTAGGTGTCCAAACCACTTCATTTGTTGTTCTTGGATGACCTGTAAGACTGACTTAATTCCTAGCATTCGTCTAATTTGACCAGTCGAAGAAATGACATAGTAACCGTGAAATACTAGTCTGTATCACCTCATCACTTCTCGTGTCGTTGACAGAATTAGGCATGGAAGGAACTATCGATAGTTTATCTTTGGCAATGTATTTCGTTCGTCTACTGTTTTGTTGAGAGAGCCACCGTGGTGTAGTGGCTAGATTCTCGCCTGGGGATCGGACGATCGTAGGTTCAGGTTCTGATGAAGCCAGACTTTTGCAAAAAAAAAAAAAGACCTTAACTTCAATGTCGACTCAGCTTAAAATGAGTACTACGTTAAGTCATGGGAGGTAAAGGCGACCGGCAAGACGTTGACCACATCAGCTACGAAGTCTTGATTGGTCTATAAAATATAGATCTAGCCCTATATGCCCAATGCCCCCGAAAGCATGGAAAAGGGTCAATTTTGTTGCTCTTACCTAATGGAAATACAAGCATATTTTTCCACACCTTCAGATATATAGGGCAAGATCTATATTGTATAGATCAGTCTGCACTCAGGGCATGGGGGAGGGGTGATGTGGTCAGTTCCACGCAGGTCGTCTTTACTTCCCAGGACTTTTATCTGAAACCCATTTAAGGCTATGTCGACCTGGGGGTCAAGGTCATTTCCGGAAGAAAAAAAAACCCCAGTCCAGCACCAATCCAATTTGAACCCACGACCTTCGAATCCACAGGCGAGCGTATAGCTGCTGCACAAGTGCGGCTCCCAAAATAAACAAAAGCGGCTGTTATTCAGTGTTCTTCGACTAGTGGTCCGTGGACCACTATTAGTCCCAGAAAATGTCCTAGTGGTCCACCATACTATTCTGCTTAATCAAATAATGAAGTCAATGAACTGTGATTGTTGTGTAATTCACGTCGAGAAAGGCTCTGGTCGAAGCGACTGTTTATCTGTCGTAAGCATGTTGTTTCCTTTTTTCATTTCGTTGGGGCCGCGTTAGTCGATAGGAAACCGGGCGGTTTCCGGTGTTCACCCAGCCTCTGTGTCATGGATACCAGAGTTAACACTGTGGTAAATGGAGGATCGTCGCTGTAGCTAAGGAGTTGCGTGCCGACGGCGACACAGGTGGACAGTTCCTTATCAGCTGTCCATACTGGTAGCAGAGCACTTGTGGTTTATAACCGTGTGCAATGACGCTGGTTCACATCTCCCGACTTTACCTTTTTACCTTTCGTCAAGCTGCTGAGTCACAGTTTTCATCGGATTAATTTCTTGGTGTTAGTTTGCCCCACTGCTTAATTAGAATCAGCCATGAACACATATGGATTGGCACATGAGATAACAGATCACGTCCTCCAGGTCTGTCCCAAATACAACATATGAAAACAAAACTTCTGGCCAAGAGAAACACCGGTTGATGCCAAACTTTACGGGTCACTTGGTTGATTACAAAAGACAGGGAAGTTCATACTAGAGACAACATTGCAGATATAATCTATTTCAAGCGAACGAAAGAAGAAGAAGAAGAAGAAGAAGAAGAAGAAGAAGAAGAAGAAGTGGAAGCAGAACTGCTTAATCGTATAGTGACTACATGTCTCAATTTTGGATACCCATCTCTAAGTTATATCGCCATCAGATTGTTGGTAGTTTTTGTTTCTTTTTATGATTTAAGATTTTCTTAGCCATGTAAGTAATTACAATCAAACCCAGAAATCGAACTTTTTTCTTTTGCAACTGTCGTCTACCAGAAACAATGCTCCGTCAACATATATCAGCTATTCAAACCTCCTATCAGCAGCGGGTGTTGCATTATAACGATAAATAAATTGTTATTTCCATTAGTTCTTGCTCCTAGTTAGTTAGTTAGTTGATCGATAGATTATCTCCACTGCATATAGGACAAACAACATATCAAGGCAAAACCTTTGGCCATGAGTGAATTACAAAAGACAGTGAAGTTCATACTGGAGACAACATTGCAGATATAGATAATCTTTTTCAAGCGAACGAAAGAAGAAGAAGAAAAAGAAGAAGAAGAAAAAGAAGAAGAATGTATGAAAAGTCCATAAGCGCTCGGATCTCATCTTGAGTATATCCCTCAGCGTACGGCGACTGATAATACCAGTTCTGTTTTTGTTATCATTTTTCTTTGGCTACCTGTATAGTGTTCATGTTTGGCGACACCTCATTTGACATGAAGGTCTTGTAGTCTTTTTAGTGTCGCCGAGTTTCGGAAAAAATTGCACTTGTAAACTACTGACGTAGCCGTGAAACGAAACCACGACCTACAGTTAAAAATAAAAAAAGTAAAGGTCCCTTTTCCACGCCTATAGGGCATATAGGGCTAGACCTATATTTGTTTATAAACCAATCGGCACAAGATGGGTGATGTGGTCAGCATCACTACAGAGCGCGAGACAAACGGCTTGACCAATTCGCCACGAAACCCTCCAATAAAAAGTTGAAGAACACTGCTAGACTGACAACACAACTTCCGTTCCCAATGTAAACTATCCGGGGTACATAGAAGTAATGCGATTTATATTCTGGTATTTCTACAGCTATAAACTACACTAATTTGACGTAATGTTGGCATTTATTTGTTATCTTTACGTTATATTACATCTATATTCTAAACCAGAAAAAGTATCTTTTGCATACCTCTAGTAGCATTATTCATTATCTAATAATAATATTTAATAATACTAAAAGGAATAGTTTGGATCAATAGTAGAAGTAATTTTAGTCAAGAATTATAAGAAACCTGCAGAAATGGGAGCTGCTTGTGCGTCAGGTCTGACGGTTTTCTCGCCAAATCTGAAAGATCACCCTGTGAAAGTACTCATCGTTGGAAAACCATCAACAGGTGTAGTATTCAGTTGAAATGCTGCGAAAATTACCCACGCTCAAATGCAAGGGGTTAGTGTCAAATTTTGATCGGGATATAAATGATACATGTAAACACAACTTTTATTGATTTTATTCGATTGTTATTAATTATTATTGTGTCTACCCGGCAGAGAATCAGCGCTAGCTTGCAATTTTGTCGTTTGTTGGAGCTGGCTGTATTTGTCAATGTGTTGGTTTCACTGTCTCGGTCCCTGCAAAATGGTAATCAAATAAAGTGTAGTTTTAAAATACACCTAAAATCAATGCTTTGATTCCAAAACAAAATGTGGGGGTACTCATCATCATGATTATCTTGTGCCGGTTAGTGTAGGGTGATGTTTGCTATCTAACATGATCACCAGAATCTAAGATCAGTTCAATTTTTTTTGGTTTTTGTCTTGCCCCATTTGTCTGGTCAGGCCAACCAGATATTTATCATAAATAAACATATAGTGAAACCACTGGGGCTGTAGAAACATTATATATATATATATATATATATATATATATATATATATATATATATATATATATATATATATATAAAACTAACAATTAAAACAATTATTAAAAAAAGTAAAGATAGGGTTGCTTCGAGCAGAGTGGCAAGCTTCACTTGACAGATCACGGGTAGTGAGCATACTTAGGATCTTTTCTCCTGGTCATGCCGGCTTGGTGAGTAATGAACAGGCAGACAAATTGGCTGGATCTGCACCACTTTGTGGTGAACTGATGCATGACAGGGCAGATGTTGTCAAGGCCCTTTGGGAACAAGTAACGGAATCAGTAGAGAAACAAGGTTATTATGGCCTGGAGAGAATGAGGCACCTGAGTGTATCCAAAGGGTTTGGCCAACTCGCTACACTCAGAGGAAAGGCGAGACGGACCTATAATCAGATTGTGACCGGTACCATCAGTATTGGAACTCTGCGCTGGCTGCTGAAGATGAGGACAGAGCACGCATGGGAATACCCCGAGTGCTGTGATGTCAGTTCTTGACTTAACTAACTAACTAACTAACTAACTAAACCAACAAACAGTGTACTGTCTGGCACTCATAGAAAGATAGAAGGACACACTAGATAACATAGAAATTGAAAGCTGTAGTTACCATGCCTGGAATTGAACCTGTCAACTCAAGTGGCATGAGTGGAGACAAGTTTACTAAGGTACTTAACCAACTAGGCACCCCAAAAAAGGTGTCATTGGTCATATCTATAGTGCAGTTTGAAATCCTTACCCATGCTGAGTCTATATGGGACTCAGAACTTTGCCCATGTAGGCATCCAGCACAAAGTACTGAACCTTTGCTGCAGACATATTCTCTACATGTAGTAGTTCATGGGGATTTACTTCTTCTTCTTCTTAATCTTCTTCTCTTCCACCTTGTACCTCATCGAAGAGTCAGGGGTGAGATGGGGATTTACTTCTTCTTCTTCTCTTCCACCTTGTACCTCATCGAAGAGTCAGGGGGGAGATGGGGATTTAATTCTTCTTCTTCTCTTCCACCTTGTACCTCATGGAAGTGTCAGGGGGAGATGTAATGTTCGTTAATGAGCTCTGTCAAGAGCACTATTAAGACTGATGTTCATTTCTGTAAGGCCTTTCTTCATGCCATCACTTCATATTTTCCGAGGTCTTCCACTCGCTCTATACCCATTGTAACGTTGTAGTGTGGCTCGCTGTGGCAGATAGTACCAGGGCATTCTTGTTAGGTATCCAAACCACTTCATTTGTTGTTCTTTGATGACCTTTAAGACTGGCTTTATTCCTAGCATTGGTCTGATTTCATGATTTCGTATTTTGTTTTTCCTTGAAACTCCTGCAGCTCTTCTAAGAGCATTTAATCTCTGTTGTCACAATTTTTCGTTCATTGGAGGATGTAAGTGTCCACGTTTGGCATTGATAGCATGGTGGGGATTTACTATTAGTCAATAATTAGAAAAAGTCCGGCTATTGCAAAGTACGTGTTCAATCAGCATTTTCCAGACTCTGTCGTAAAACATTAGTATGTCAGCTGTAGTTTGAAAATGTGTTACATGAACATAATGTGTTTAACAGAAAAATTAACAAACTGTGTTAAACATTGAGCTTTGGTCTGCCAGAAGACTGAATTATGGTGTTATAGATAAAAACTGGTCTCTGAGTTAGGGAGAATGAACAAATAAACAAACTTTATTTTAAAATAGTTAAAAATGGGTACGCAGGCCCGTCTTACATTCGGCTCTATGGAGATGCATAACTAGATGATTTAGTTCCCTTGAGAGAAGTATGGAGAAAAAGAAGAATAAAAAGATGAGAATAAGAAAGAGAGGTAGGAGGAGGAAAAAGAATGCAATTCACCATAGTACCTGGCTTCATGTGAATACAGTATGATCTAAATTTCTACTGTTATTGTTATTTCTACAGTTGTCTCTCTTTGATTCCCACAAATAATTGTCAGTTAAAATGTATAACTAGATCTGACAACACTTTGGATAAAAAAAGGTACAAAAATTGAAAGATTCGCTAAATTTAAAAAAATGTCCTTATGAGGATAATCTTGGTCTCAAAATTGCCTTCCTCTGAGAAAATGCATTCTTGATGTGCTTTATAGTTTACTGTCATCATGATGTTCCGTTATATGTCTCACATTTAATTATTTCCATTTTGTTGTATTATTTGTTTTTTCTGCAATGTTATGGATGGAATCCAGTCCAGCGGCTTCAGCCTCTCTCATCCCCATTTATTTTAGGGTTTATTTTAGGCATTCTCATTTTTTTTTCAATCCATCTGTTTCTCAATAAAGTGACTGTTTGGTGATTATGTTTGCGTTTTCACAGGATCTGTTCAATATATAGTATATATATATATTTTTTTCAATCCATCTGTTTCTCAATAAAGTGACTGTTTGGTGATTATGTTTGCGTTTTCACAGGATCTGCTCAATATATAGTACCATCTTCTTTGTCTTATGACTGTTGATATCAGTTGCTGTCCACAAATTTCTTCTATTTCTTTACATTTCTGTATCTTGCTGTAAGTAAAAAGTAAAGATCCCTTTTCATGCCTTAAGGTGCATCGGGCATATGGGAAGAGCACCCAATATTTTTACAAACCAGTCGGCACTAGGTGGGTAATGTGGTCAGCATTACGCCGCCGACTTTACTTCCCCAGGACAGCCATCCTGGTACCCATTTTAGGCTGGGTCGACCTGTGACGCCTCATACCATGATAAAAATCCACGCAGCCAGCAGTGGGTTTCGATTTCGGTGCGTTGGAATTACGAGTCGGACTCGCAATGCCTAAGCCTCGGATGCCGATATCTTGCTATAGTTTTTCATATTTGTGAGTGGTAAAGGCAATAAGGTAATTTGGACAAGCTGAGCTCTGAATTTGCAGAGTTCTATTACTGAGTCTGAGTTACTGAGTTACTGCATGATTTTGCCAAGCTTATTAATTTGCCATGCTCTGATCTGTAATTTGTATTATCTTCCCTCCTATTCATCTTCATATTATGACAAACAGTCTAAACCAACAACTAGTGACCGTAAATAACCAATCACTTGAAAATGTAGAACATTTCACATATCTTGGCAGTGTGGTGTCCCTACTGGGAGGGACAGAGGAAGACATACAGTCACGCCTGAACAAAGCTAGAGCTGCTTTTGGAAGGATCAGGCAAATCTGGAAATCCAACAATTACTGCAGAGGAACAAAACTCCGACTCTACAAGAGCATCATTTTGCCATTTCTTCTTTATGGAGCAGAATGCTGGAGAATGACCACAAGCTGTCCACCTTCCACCACACATGTCTACGTAGAATTTTCAAAATTTTCTGGCCAGATACAATCACAAACACTAAACTACTTCAAGTCACTAACCAAGAAACTTTAGACAGTATGATAACCAAGAGAAGATGGAAATGGCTTGGCCACATTATGAGAATGTATCCTGATATACCTGCCAAAACAGCTCTCACATGGATACCAGAGGGAAAGAGAAAAAGGGGCGCCCAAAAACAACATGGAGACGAACGATGGAAAGTGACCTGAGTGCGGCATCTCTGACATGGAAAACTGCCCAGGACAGGAAAGCATTGAAAGTCCTCTCTGAAGCCTCGTGTGCCACTAGGCATACAGAAAATTGACTGACTAATATTTATCTTCATAGATTGCTTTAACAGTGTCTTTACATTTTTAAAGCTCTGGGATCAAAAGGGCTGTACAAGGTTTTCAGCCACCTTTGCAAACTCATCTACCTTTTCATTTCCAAAGATAACAGAGAAGGCAGGTATCCATTGTTGGCCTAGTTTTGTTCTTTTTAATAGCATTTGAAAAAAAATTAAATGGTTATAAAAACAGTGATTTTTATTTAAAAAAATTGTGTGTGTATACAAATTGTACTTGGGGATTCTCCATGGCAAAGTGGTCCAACTGTTTGCATTGTGTTGTGAAGGTCTTGGGTTTGTTTTAGTGACACGCTGGTCAGTTCACTAGGCATCTCCAATAAAGATCTCCGGGGATCATTGCTAGAGCTACGGAGTTTATGCTTTGATTAATGCTCACTGCAAGTGGCTAGCCATTCTGTGGAGAAAGATTGAGTCATTTGTAATAATCTGGTGCAATGCAATTTATCCACTCAACTTTAACGACTTTAACTCTCAACAAATTGTACTTTTACAGGGAAGACTTTCCTCTTGTACTCTTGGAAATATGGAGTTGATGCCATCCTCTCTGTGGAGCCAACAAGCCATTTTAACGTAGACACAATCACCACTCAGTCGGGGAGGAAGATACTTGTCTATGATTTGGCTGGAAATATTGGCTTACGAATGCGACCGTTTCTGGAAGGAACAAATGGTATTTTCTTCATTTCCCAAATTAGCCATTTTGTTGTTTTAACTCTTTAAGTACCAACAATTCATCACATGTTTCTGGATACTTGCATTTAAAATATTATGTTCTTGTTGTCTTTTACCACCTTTAATTTTTTAAATCTGATCTACATTTTGTGTTTTCCATTTTGGTAACATGTCCACTGTTAGGCTAAACTAATTCTTTATTCTTTTTTTTTTCTTTTTTCTAATGATTATGTATTGAATATTTATAATACGTTATCATCATGCAGGAGTAGTGTATATGCTTGGATTGTACGGGCGAGATGACTTTCTGCAAGAAGATGAAATGATTTTTCTGCAACAACTTCTGCAAGAGAGGGATCTGGAAAATGCTCCATTTCTATTTGTAATAAGAAAAGAAGGGAATGAGAATGGTAAGTCGAACTGTGAAAAGATTTTATCACTTCCCTGTTTCAGCAGCTGTATGAGTTATTGTTTTGAAGAGCAAAACTGTATTCAGTTTGATGTCTGTAGGTGTACTTAGAAGAAGGAGGATGATAAGTAGAGGAAGAAAGAGGAGAAGAAGAAAAAGCAGAAGAAGGAAGGGGAGATGGGGATAGAGAAAAAGAGGAAAAGTAGGAAGAAAAAGACAAGGATTAGGATGAGGAGGAAGATACAAATGATGCTCAGGTGAGTCTACACATTAAGATAAAAATCTGTGGAGCGTAAGACTTTTAGTGTACCAGCCAGCAAGTGCAAATAGATACAGATGTGATGTCTAGTGTACCAGCTAGCAAGGGTAAATAGAAATAGATGAGACGTCTAGTGTACCAGCCAGCAAGTGCAAATAGATACAGATGGGACGTCTAGTGTACCAGCCAGCAAGTGCAAATAGATACAGATTGGACGTCTAGTGTACCAGCCAGCAAGTGCAAATAGTTACAGATGGGATGTCTAGTGTACCAGCCAGCAAGTACAAATAGTTACAGATGGGACATCTAGTGTACCAGCCAGCAAGTACAAATAGTTACAGATGGGACATCTAGTGTACCAGCCAGCAAGTACAAATAGTTACAGATGGGACATCTAGTGTACCAGCCAGCAAGTACAAATAGTTACAGATGGGACATCTAGTGTACCAGCCAGCAAGTGCAAATAGATACAGATGGGACGTCTAGTGTACCAGCTAGCAAGGGTAAATAGATACAGATGGGATGTCTAGTGTACCAGCCACCAAGTGCAAATAGATACAGATGGGACGTCTAGTGTACCAGCCAGCAAGTGCAAATAGATACAGATTGGACGTCTAGTGTACCAGCCAGCTAGTGCAAATAGTTACAGATGGGACATCTAGTGTACCAGCCAGAGAGTGCAAATAGATACAGATGGGACGTCTAGTGTACCAGCCAGAGAGTGCAGATAGATACAGATAAGACGTCTAGTGTACAAGCCACCAAGTGCAAATAGATACAGATGGGACGTCTAGTGTACAGGCCAGCAAGTGCAAATAGATACAGATGGGACGTCTAGTGTACAAGCCACCAAGTGCAAATAGATACAGATGGGACGTCTAGTGTACAAGCCACCAAGTGCAAATAGATACAGATGGGACGTCTAGTGTACCAGCCACCAAGTGCAAATAGATATAGATGGGACGTCTAGTGTACAAGCCACCAAGTGCAAATAGATACAGATGGGATGTCTAGTGTACAAGCCACCAAGTGCAAATAGATACAGATGGGACGTCTAGTGTACAAGCCACCAAGTGCAAATAGATACAGATGGGACTTCTAGTGTACCAGCCAGCAAGTGCAAATAGATACAGATGGGACGTCTAGTGTACCAGCTAGCAAGGGTAAATAGAAATAGATGAGACGTCTAGTGTACCAGCCAGCAAGTGCAAATAGATACAGATGGGACGTCTAGTGTACCAGCTAGCAAGGGTAAATAGAAATAGATGAGACGTCTAGTGTACCAGCCACCAAGTGCACATAGATACAGATGGGACGTCTAGTGTACCAGCTAGCAAGGGTAAATAGAAATAGATGAGACGTCTAGTGTACCAGCCAGCAAGTGCAAATAGATACAGATGGGACGTCTAGTGTACCAGCCAGCAAGTGCAAATAGATACAGATGGGACGTCTAGTGTACCAGCCAGCAAGTGCAAATAGATACAGATGGGACGTCTAGTGTACCGGCCAGCAAGTGCAAATAGATACAGATGGGACTGTAGGATGATCTGTAATATGTAAAGGCAAGTCAAATTTTCCTATACAACCTTCAGAAAATTTACGGAAGGTTAGCCAAGTTTCAAGTTCAGTGATGAAAAACACACACACAAAAACTGAACCATGTTCATTCAGTCTCTTCCGAGTGGGAGCTTTCGTTTATATAAACTTCTCACCACCAAGTAGTCCTGAAAAGGACTCTTGCAGTGTTAATGCGATGACCCAACCACTTTCTGTCCAGCGACTGAGTCACCTATTGGCGGACTAATAAGCCAGCCGGGTGTCAAAGAGTTAACCCAAATTTAAGACCCTATATGAGTTCATAAAGAAGTCTAAAACACTGAAAACAGATAATATTGGAATATTAAGCTAAACAGAAGAAGTTATTTGCTTCACTGGTCCATCATCTCACATAATCCGTGTTTGTACGGGGCTTTTCAAAAGTCCCCGGGGAGAATAGCAGAATTGCGCTGATCACTGGAAGGTATTTGTGGTATCTTTGTGTGCCAATAGCAGATGAGAAAGCAGTGGCAATATAGAATATTTTAGAATAAATTCACAACAGTAGTAAAAATCAGGAATTGAAGAAAGCACATTAATTTAAACAATATCAAGCCCATTAATTTAATAATATCAAGTGCATTGGTTTAATAACAGCAGTCACAGGTGTCTAGTAGAAATGTTTCAGTCATGTGAGGTTAAACAAAACTCTTCATTTTCTTTCATAAAATGGACCAAAGACAACTTATCGTAAACATGAGAGAGAAGCTGTCATCATCTGTTGGCCATATTTTATCATGGCATTTTATCATAGATGTTATGCATTTTGTCATGGCATTTTATCATGCATGTTATCATGCATTTTATCGTGGCATTTTGTCATGGAGTTTTTTATCATGGCATTTTGTCATGGCGTTTTATCATGGCTTGGAAAGGTGTCAGCACATGAATGGATTTATGCTCTTGGAGATCTCAGTGCGTAGAGAGGCATAATCACTCATGCCAGTCATCAAGGCACTTGATAATGATGTCAGTGAAAAACCCTAATGGAAACAAATGTTGGCAACAACACCATGTTATAAGGAATGTAAAGTGAATGGAAGTGATACTGGACTAGTCAGAATTCTGTAGTGTGTTGTGACCACATTTTAAAAGTAAGATTATATTTGGTTTAATGTTTAGATATGTGGGGGAATAGCCAGGGACACATCATGAGTTTATTTAAGAATGAAAGAGGCAATTTTAAAATCAGTATTGAAGTCCTAATAGAGAAAATAAGAAGAAGATGAAGAAGTTTCATTCCCTAATACCAGCTTCTCTTAGACCACCGGTTATCAGACTGATGTTAAAGATGAGTTAATGATAAACATTAATAGAAGGTGAATGTGAAATATGCTGGTATGTTTAATTGGGCACCTTTAAACAAATGACAGAACTGTGGCTTCAGAACTGAGAACGCTGGAAAAGCATTTCTTCAACCTAACAGTACATTAACAAGGACTTACTGAACTGACACAGACTGCTCGCTTGGGAAAATCATTCGTTGCTTGAGTTGAGTTGAGTCAATAATTGACATCACAGCACTCAGGCATTCCCATATGAACTTTGTACCCATCTTCAGCAGCCAGCGTAGAGTTCCAGCAATGATGGTACCAGTCGTTGTCTGGTTATGTGTCCATCTTGCTTTCCTCTGAGTGTAGTGAGCTGGCCAAACCCTCTGGTCACACCCGGGTGCATCATTCTCTCCAGGCCATAATAATCCAGTTTCTCTTCCGACTTCGTTACTTGTTCCCAAAGGGCCCTGACTACATCTGCCTAGTCATGTATCACTTCACCGCCTAATGGTACAGATCCAGCCAATCTCTCTACCTGTTCATTCCCCACCATGCCCGGACAGCTGGAGAAAAGATCCTAAGTATGCTCACTGACCTTCCAAGTGAAGTTTGCCAAATATGAACATTGCTTTTCTATACATACTGTATTTTTCCGTGTGTAAGACACTCCAGTGTATATGTAGACTCCTATTTGTTAGCCCAAAATTGAGAAATGAATATTGTGAACACATTCCATTTGTGAAGTAAATTAAAGATCCACTTTTTACGCCTTTAGGCACATCGGGCATATGAGAAGAGCACCCATATTTTTACACACCAATCGGCACTAGGAGGGTAATATGGTCAGCATTACGTCGGCCGTCTTTACCTCCCTAGGACATACATCCTGGTACCCATTTTAGGCTGGGTCGACCTGCGATGCCCCATAACATGATAAAAATCCATGCAGAATCAATATGTTAGGTGATCCCCAATTTAAAAATTTTAAAAATGGGGATCTGTATTGTTTTCTACACAGAAAAATATTAAACAGCATTAAAAGTCTTTGATTAAGCACCAGCAAGGAAATCAAAATTAAAATTTTGAGAGCATGCATCTTCCCTATAGCAGCATACAGATGTGGGTCATGGACTATCTCCCAGTCCTTAAGAAAGAAAGTAGAGGCTTTTGAGCTGAAATGCTAAAGAATTATTCTCAAAATACCATGGACAAAGAAGAGAAGAAATACTGACATTTTAAAAGATCTGAACATCAAGGAAGACTGGCTAATAAACAGTATTTTGTTTTGGAAGCTGAAATATTTTGGTCACGTTAAGTGCCATGGCGGATTGGAAAGGATAAAAGCAGAAGGCATGGTACCAGGAAGGAGGGTCAGGGTTCGACCAACACCTAAATGGGCACAGGCTATAATTGATTACTTGAATATGAAAGTAGTTGAGGTGGGAGAGCGGGTGAGAGACCGAGTTTATTTCAGACAGACTGTGATGAGAGCAACATTCAGCGAAGGATCTGCTACATGATGATGATGATTCAACCCACTGTGTATTTCAGCATGTCATCATTCTATGTTGAATAAATTGTCTATTCTACTTCTTCTTCTTCGCGTTCACCAGCTGTAAACTCTGGCGGAAAGTTCTGGTTGTTCATTCAATTTTGGACTGCAGTCCTGTTCCAGAACCGGAGTGTTGCGTGTGCATCTGTTTTACAGGTCTGACTCATTTGTATGCAGACTTTTGGTTCCTTGCCTGTCAGGCAGAAGCACTCTGACTTTGAAGAAAGCTCCTGATTAGTCGACTCTTACGATATGCTTTTGGGTAGGCAGTGTGTCAATTCTTTTTTCCCCCTATAATAGGGCCCCAGAACGCACACAAGGATAAAAATTGTCTATTGAATAAAGTAAGTAAGTAAGTAAAGGGCCCATTTTCACGCCTTTAGGCGTATAGGGCATATAGGGCTAGACCTATTTTTTATAGACCAATCAGCACAAGATGGGTGATGTGGTCAGCATCACGCCGGCCGCCTTTACTTCCCTGGACTGCACCCAGTACCCACTCAAGGTTTGGTCGACCTGGGAGCCAAGGTTATTTTTGAAAAAGTCAGGCTCCGCCAGGGAGCAAACTCACGACCTTCTGATCCGCGGCGAGCGTCTAGCCGCTCGCCCACGGTGACTCCTCTATTGAATAAAGAATGAGTGCTAACTTCACTACATAATCTCTCATTAACATTTCACAGAAGCTCATCAAGATCTGCTAGACAGATTGCAGCAGTGTCTAAAGCAAAGAGTCTGGGATTTGGTTGAAATACGGTCTCGAAACCAAGAAGATGCAAATTTAGTTCTGACTGTTCTGGAGGATTTGTTAAACAACACCACAAATGCAGAAAGCTGAAACTTTTGGAAAGTTGAATATGAACATTATTTGTCTTTGTATTAATTATCTTTGGGGGTGCAGAGGTGGTTGTGTTCTCAGTACGCTTGTTCCCATAGCAAGACATACACACCATTTGGAGGTGACAGGTTCGATTCCCAGCACGATAACTTTAGCTTTCGATTTTTATGTTGTCTAGTGTGTCTCTTCTATCTTTCTGCTTCTTTCTATGAGTGCCAATCAATACATTGTCTCTATATTAATTATATATATAAAACATTATTTGTTGGCACTGCAGTTAAAGAGTTTGTTGATTAGTAAAGTTCTAGTCATGTTGTTATCTGTGAGCTTTTTGCCTATGAGCTTTTTTTATTCCTCTTTGAATGAATTTTCTATTTAAATTATTTATCTCTGATTCCTCTTGGTGGTGAGCTACTCTGTGATATAGTGGGCATGGTAAAGGTTGTCCGGGATTAAACGGACAGTGCAGTAGAACATACAGAGAGTCCATACATTGACAAAATTAATTCAGTGCAAAATGCGGGGTCCTGGGGGTGATGTGGGGGGAAAGGGGGGGGGGGGGAATAACTAGATGTTCTGGAAAATATTCAAAATTGAGGAGTGAACATATGCAGACTTTAATCAGGTTGCAACCTGTACTATATAAGCATGTCGACTGTTCGTTGGTCATTGAAGAAGGGGACGGAGCATGTGTGGGAATAAACCAAGTACAGTGATATAAATTCTTGATTCATTTATTCATTAACTCTTATTCTGAAGACCAGGCAGTCATCATGTGCCATGTCGATTAGCACAGGCTGTCATGTTTCGCCATCCCATACAATCACGGATCAGGTCAGTGTTCCTGTGGCCCCATCCATATGCCATCCAGGTATTCATCTCTTAGCCTTCTTCTTGCTTTCTCGTCCCAAAATCTTGCCAGTTATCACCAAGTTCTCGAATCCACTTCCTCTCATAACATGTCAGGAAAACCCTTGGTGCCTAAGCTGAATTTGTTATGAATGTTTGTATACATTTTGTTTGCAGTTATGATGCTTATTATGTGTCACTTATAATGGAGACAAGATAACACATAACTGTATTCTTCTTTTCTACACAAATGTATTTCACCACATGGTCACAATATTTGTAAATGTATGTACACCTGTGTGGCAGAAGGTGAGTATGATAAATGTAATGATATGTACATCACATTTGAGTATAACAGAAGCTGAGGAAGCTAAATGTAAGATTTTATGTAAAATGTATTTCTGTATAGTATAAAATTGACTGTGATAAATGTAATGATATTTTATGTAAAGTGCATTTTTGTATAACACACGGGACATGTGCTGAATGTAATATTTAATGTAGTTAGATTTTTGTACAGCAGACGGTGCCTATGCTACATTTAATATTTTTTTGTAAAGTAAGATGTTGTGTCGCAGGTAACAAGTAAAATAGAACACATTGAAAACCTGTACCTGGGGGAGTGGGGGGAGGGTCTACAGGCTCTGGGCCCCACTTGAACCTTGGTGGAAAGGCAAGACGAGTAGTTAACCAGATGACAGTGGGTACCAGCAGTATGGAGATTCTTTGCTGGCTGTTGAGAAGGGAGTCGGAGCTAATAGAGCTAATGTTAGCTTGTCCTGATGCTATTATGTTGAATCTTTACCCAGATACTGTATAACAGAGGGCGTTAAGCTAAATGTAATGACATATTGTTTACAGTGCATTTTGGGACTAAAGAAACAGGTTTCTTTTGTTGTTTATCTTCCTGTCTGTCTATTGTTTTCCCCTCCAGGACATCCAGTATTATCATTAAAAGTATTTTTGTTTTTTCTACTGTGAAAGATTACATGAGAAAACAACAATAAAACTTTATGTAAAGAACAACTCACTATATGTTCAATGACATAACCCGAGAAAGTATCTCTTGTGACTTTATTTTGTACCAGAAAGGTATCAGGTTAAATCCTTTTATGTGTATTGCTAGTTAAAGTTATTTCTTCCCATCATATTCTTATTTTGACTGTTTGACTCCAGCATGAGCTGCTCCAAGTGTGTGTAGGTCTGCTTGGATATCGTCTGTCCACAACCTTCTTGGTCTGCCTTGTGGTCAGCTGCCCTTCAAGTTTTGTACAAACCAGAGGGTCTGGCCGGCTCACTGCACTTAGAGGAAAGGCTATACGAACATATAACCAGATTGTGACCTGTACCATTAGTTATGGAACTCTGCGCTGGCTGCTGAAGATGAGGACGGAGCACACATGGGAATGCCCCGAGTGCTGTGATGTCAATTCTTGACTCCACTCAACTCAACTTCTGTACACAGTTTTTGTATCTTTTTTTTATCTGCCCTTACAATCATACTAGTTGCAAATATAATTCTGGAGAGGGTATTTAGGGAGATAAAAAGAAGTCCCCTAGGTATTACCCCACTGGGGATCCAAACTTGTAGACTTTCACATATTCCAAGATATCACATACCAGGTTGGGTGAGTCCCCTTCCGAGTCACCTTTCTTTCTCACACAGTTTTCAGACAAACAATGGATACCAGTTGTTTACTCAGTTGACATAGCCTAAAAACCGATTAAGTACTTGTAAGGTGACAATAAAACAGTTATGTGCCTAAAACTTCTTGCCATTCGCTGTGATAGTCATGCAAAGTCACTCATTGCTTTCTGATGCATACACACTGGAATGTGTAGCCACGTTTCTGACCCTCGCCATGTGTTGTGTACTTTTGTTATGAATTGTACACTTTGGGTTTATTTTGTTGAAAGTGTTATTTTTACACTTGTTCACTTGCCATAAATACATATCTTATGCTCAGTTGAAATTGCCAGCCATAAAGGATACATTTAGTTTTTTTACAATTGTATCTGCTTTTTCTTTTAATGATAGGTTTTATGTCACTTTTGTCATGTTAGTTTATTGCACTCTCCATTTTAGGAGGTTGTTTTGGTGTGTTTAAAAAATTATAATGTTTGTGAACACATTATTGTGAGATGTGGTGTAATTATCATTTATGGATGTAATTAAAGTATTGAGACAATCACCTAAAATATAATAATGTGATTAGTTTTATGCCAAATATATTCTCTACTAGCTGCTGACAGATGAAATTGTCAAATTGTAACAGATGGCTGTCTGGAATAGTTTATAAATACGAATATATATGACCCTTGATCACCACCAGATCTTTTTGCTCACACAGGATTGCAGGATGTTGTTGTTACAGGTGCCAGGTGACACTGGGCAGAAGTGATTGTTATATGGGCCAGGTGACACCAGGCAGCTGTGGTTTTTGTTGGTGCCAGGTGACACCAGGCAGTTGTGGTTGTTATATGTGCCTAAATAATAACGTTTTGAGGACATTGAACCGGGAATCTGGGATTTGCCCTGTTGGCTTGCCATCCAGATTGAGATTTAGTAATCTTAGGTTGGTCAGACCATCACATAGCAGCTTGGATAGGAAAAATGAAAGAAGGAAGGAAGGATTACATCATTGGTGACCGGGTCACCCATTGGCTGGCCAGAAGACAGCTTGGTCGTTGGTCGGGATACTATTTGGGTCTGTCTCTCTTGATTGCATCAAGGCTGCAAGAGTAGTTTTCAGGGCTAATTGGTGGTGAGCAGTGCTAAGACATCTGATATAGCACACATACATTTAGTCACAGTTATAACCAAAAGCTCCCCTCTTTGTGGGATGCTTGTTGAATGTGACGACTTTTGTTTCACAAAGTAAGTCAAGTCAAGAAAGGAGTACAGGATAGATACTGTGTTTACCTCCCATGCCCTGGTGATTGTAAATCTTAAACAGGCAAATTGTGGGAAACCTTATTTATAGTCTCATGTGCCCAGTGTGCTTCTAGAGCACATGGATTTATGGGAACAGGATGCCATAGATTGCATTCAATCAGTCATGTGCCATCTCCACAGTGAAATTTGGCTGCAGTGAATCTCCAACACGCTCTGTCTTTTTTTTGTCTTGGTTGTTCACTCTTTTAATGTGCCCAGAATATTTCAATTGTCTTTTTTTTCCTCTCCTCCCAGTAACTCTCTTTTCATTCTCTATCTCTGCAGACCCTCTGTATTTGATTGTTTTTGTTTCCATAAAATACGACCTATTCTTCTGTATATCGACATTTCTGAATGTGATTTTCTAGTTACCTATTGATTGTCCAAGTTTCTGCACCAAACAGCATGGTTGATGGTTTGCATAGCATGGAGGGAAAAACTGGAAAACAGACAGTTCAATATTTCAGGGGGTGGTAGATAGGCTGCATGCAGTTGTGGCACCTAGGCTGCATGCAGTCGTGGGACCTTGGCTGCACTCTCTCGTGGGACGTAGGTGGGTTGGGGTTAGGTCCAATTCTAGGTGTTTTGGGGTCGTTAAAAGCACCACAAAGCCAGGAAACCGGGTCTTACCACCCTATACAATATTGCAGCCCCCGTGACGTCATCTGGGGTGACTTATTACGAAAGAACCGATAAAGTTAAAGTTAAATATGACAGGATCGACTTCATTGCCCCAGGTTATCCTATATGGCTCAGTATCTCTCCCAGAATGGCTACTCTCCTCTCAAAAGCTTCACACAAATTACAAACGTCATAGCGTAAGGAACAATCCCCAGGAAATCCCCGTAAAAATACAAACTGTGAACTAAATGAAATATCTGTGGAACGAACCCATACCGTTCAAAGCACAATGTAATTAAACACAGAGATGCCAGAGGACAAATAAGAGAATAATCGTAAACAGGTTAAAAGCCGGAATACAAATATATGTGTCAAATTCATATAATGGCAACAATAATCCGGAAATCGTTCGCATTTATTGTGCAAGATTCTTCTTAACTCTTTCAGTCTCAGGGGATTTAGCATCAGAGACCCAAATGGATGTAAAGAATGACTTAAAATCAGCGCATCTTGCGTTCATTGGGCTTCTAGGTAGGAACCTATAAATGAATGTTGTGTTCCTTGGGGCGGAAAGAGTTAAAATGAGGGTTCTTCT